ACCTCTCATCTAACTTCCGAATTACCTTGCGTATTACCAAATTACTTCAACAGTATATAAAATGGAGTTTGCTCTTTTTTTGTTACAACCTTGGCAGTTTTGTACACGTGGCTGCGGTTCTAATTTTGTGCCTGCGAAACGTTACGCTAATATGAAGAACATATTGAGTCGATCATCCAATCATTAAAGCCCGCTATGCTCCATTTGGTCCAAAAACTATATCAGGTTGCATCCAAATACAAAATTTTATGCAGTTGGTTCTACACTACCAAATTTTAGCAATCATATTGATAATATTATATTTGTCGAATGTGATATTTCTAAATGGCTACCATTTCCTGATAATGAATTTGACTATTTTTCTATGAAAGGAAATTTTATGTTCATGAAATGATGATGCATTTCGAAAAGCTTTATCAGAGATCCTTAGAGTATTAAAGCCGGAGGGTTGGTTAGAGGTGAGAAAAAGAGGTTATAATGTTATATTTACAGATTATAACTTATTTATATTGCAATGTTAGGTTATATGTTCATATAGTACGGACGCTGTCCATGGGCCAGAATATACACGATTGGATAGCGCATGTATGTTTATTTATCGTGCATTTATTCTAAAAATATATATGCAGTCAAACCCCTCTAAATACAGTTTGTGGAGATCTTTAATGTACATTTAAAGAATACCAAAAAAAAAAACTGCAGTTATGGGTCGAATGTATATTTGTGCCAGAATTTGAAATTGCATTTAGTAAGAGATTACATTTAGGGGCCTTACTGTATTATGAAATTTTTTCTTAAACCTATTTGCAATCATTTAGGGAAATTGTGGCTCAGGGTGCAAAATATTGATCCTAATATAAGGGCAAACCTCGAAAATCGTCTTCAAGAGACTGGAAAAGTCGAATCTATGTCGCATCGAATAGTAGAAACGCCGTTTATAAATGACCGTGCTTTTGGAGAGTTTATGATTGAAATTTCGTTACTTTTTTACAGAAATATTAGAAATGATTTTGCCCTTTTATGAACCTTTCATTTGAAGAATTTGATAACTTGATAAAAAATGCCGTAAGTGAACTAACTGATAAAGATCTTAAAGTAACATTAAAACACAAACAAGTATTTGCAAGAAAGAAGAGCACGAATTCCAATGAAAATTGAAATTACATGCATCGCACCAAATAAGCATTGGTGTTTATTCGTGGCAAGAATTTTATAAAAGCGCTTTATGGCTTTAACTAAATAGGATGGTGCTTATTTGCAGCAGAATACGGAATGTTATCAAGTAATTTAAGCACAAAGATCATATCATTAGCTAGCCACAGAACTATTAGGTGTAATAAAGATTTTTTTTTCTTATTTATTACAATCTATTTCATGCCGTATACCTCATTTTTTATAATCATAAAACATTGTTTGATTAGTGCATAACCTATCGATTTGTCATCTAAGCTGTGATCTGATAAAAGAGTAAAATAAATTGAATAAGATCTCTTATGTGGGCTTTTTCTTTTTTTTCTTGATCTCATTGGCATTTTTCTCGCTGGTAGCATTCTTTACTTTGGGTCTTTCTTACCTCCAGTATATAACATTCTATATCTTGAATCACTTTGGTGTCATCTTACCTTTAGTAGTATTCTTAAATCTCTTTGGTATTTCACCACCAACGTAGCATTCTTTTATGTTAAGTCTCTTCAGCACCTTCGTTCTTTTTTGCCAACATTTTCACGGCACATTCTATTTCCAATTAATGCATACTTTTTTTCTAATATATAGTTTTCTTTTTAGCCTAAATTTTCGTGGGCATATTTTTCTTGCCTAAGTCTTTTCTGTACGTTCAATTAATAATACTTTTTTTCTGTACATATAGATTACTGCATCAGCAGGTTACGTACCTCGCCTGACAGTCTACATCTGAGGTGTGTCAGCTGTGATCTGAGGTCTGAGACACAACACATATATTATTCATTGCATATTTTTATTTTTATAATAGTATTCAGGTAAATATTAAACTTATGCAATGAAGTTCAAAATCATACACTGGCAATCATAAATAATGCAACAAGTGATAATTATATAATAAAACATAGTAACTATTGAAATTTTCACTCTATAATAAATTTTTTTCTAAAAATTTTTACTATAGTGAAAATTTCAATAATTACTATGTTTTATTATAAAAATTATCACTTGTTGCATTATTTATGATTGCCAGCGTATGTAAAAATAAATTTATACTTTTAAAGCAATCAATCTAAATAACAATGTAATATTAGCAATAAATTTTTAATTCTATGTCCAGTAAGTTTAATAATACTTGCCTACGGAAACTTTAGCAGAAACAATAGGCTGACTTGGTAAAGCTGCTGATATAACATAATTAGTTTTAATCAAGTGGTAAAATGATATAATTTTATAAAATAAACACCTTTAATTGCATCTGATATTTTTTGTGTGTTGATAATTTTGTTGGTGTACATAAAATCAGGATGTTTTGGTAAGACAATTGGCAATTCTTTGGCTATTTTTTCTTGTTTTAAGATTGCTTTTTAATACTATAATCATCGTCATAATCGTCATCGTCTGACTCATTTACGACATCTGAATTTGCCATTATATTATTCCATTCTTCAATTTTACAATAAACATCATAAGAATTAGGTCGTTTTTTTTTTGGATCAAAATCCATGCATTGTTTAGAAAATTCAATCTAACAATTCGGAGTTCCAGGAGCAAATTCTGGTCGCAATCCTTTATAAATCTTTATTACAAAATCAATATTAAATTCATAACCATCAAAAGGTCTTAATCCAGTTGGCATCTCTGACATGATGGCTTCGAAGCTATAAATATCTACAGCTTGCGTAAACTTTCGACCTGATAAAGCTTCAGGAGCGATATAAGGCATCATACTTTATAGACAATCCTAGACCTGTAATGTAAGATTGCATATTTTTACTAATGCCCAGTGTTTATTTGAAGAATATTGCCACTGTGAAAGTCTGTATGAATATATCCTGTTTCATGAATTTCATATAAATAATCTAAAATATCGAGGAAAATGTTTAGTTAGTTTGCTATGTAAGGATACAAAAATTTTTCCTTAAAAGCTTGTCAAGATTTCCATTATCAACGTATTGAAGTAACCAGGTTGCAGAAATGCAGTGCCAAATCCTTCTTGGCTAACTTTTTTTAATATTGTTTAGCTTATCAAATGGAATCCATTCAATCATACATTCATATTTATGAGTTCTAAGTTGGAACCCTTTCATACAATTATCAACATCCTTATTTCCACTTGCTATCCGTGAATTGCTATATCAGGATCACATGCCTAGCACCATATTTGACTAGTATTATATTTACATTATTTATATCGCGTTAAAATTTAAACGCAAGTACTTTTATGCTCACTGACTAATCAGTGTAAATAAAATCAAATTAATAATAAATATTCATAATTTGAATAAATACTTAGTTTAATACACGTTCTTTATACTCACTCACTGAAGCATGTTAAATAGGATTAAATTGTAAATATTCATGAATAGCTTATTTGAATGCTGTCAAGAGAAAACTTGTTATTTGACTTTCCAGAACTCATCCATGAAAAATTAGCGTGTATTATATGTAACGTATAAGACTGATCAGATTTTTAATGGATAAATCTTGGAATCGGGAACGACAGGTTTTCCCTTGACTATACTCGTTTTAAATGCTTATATTAATAAATGATTTTATACATACTTACTTCATATGTTAAATAAAATTTAATAGTAAATATTTATAAACTTGAATAGCTTACTTTAAAACTTAGATTAATAAATGTTCATTATACTTACAAACTACAGTATGTTAAATGAAATTAAATAGTAAATATTCGTGAGCTTGAATAGCTTTTTAAATACTTAGGTAATAAATCTTTTTATACATACTTACTTTATATGTTAAATAAAATTAAATTGTAAATATTTATAAACTTGAATAGTTTATTTAAACGAATTTAAATAACAAATCTTCATGAGCTTGAATAGCTGTTTTAAATACTTAGTTTAATAAATATTCTTTATACTTACTTACTACAGTATGTTAAATAAAATTTAATAATAAATATTGAGTTTTGCTAAAGCTTACCGGTGGTAATCATCACGAGGAACCGTTCAATGTTACGCGATGTTCATGTGTTGTCACATGCTGATTAGCCAATCAAATCGTAAGTTTTAAAAGAGAAAAAAAAAAATAAAGTGAAATTAAAACCGCAATAAATTTAGAGCTTAGAATAAATATATTTTATTTTTCGTGAAGTATATAAGCATGTCTTAATTTTATCTATTTACCAACTAATTGACAAATTCGCATCAATTATCATTATCTACCTATAAGAACAAATAATCTTTCATTATAAATAAATTGTAATCTAGAACCAAGTGTCACGGTCTTTTGAATAACCTTTCATATATACAGTATAATATAAATCAGAAATCACAATCTATCTAAAGTTTTATACATATATATATATTTATCTTATTAAAAAAAATATATACATATGTAGTTAGTTCGTATTATTATATATTTGTTTAAACTTTTAAAGATTTTTCTAAACATATAAAAAATTATATAAACTAATACACATACCCACACTACTCATTAAATTGTTGCTTCTAACAGTTTTTACTGTTCAATGTCTAGAATTTGTAGTTCAGTGTTTCATAATTTACTTACTAACATATACATCTTTACAAGGTAAATCATTATGTAAAAGTTGGTGGATTCAGGTGAATTTAACCAATATTGTTATAATATGATGTGAAAGTTTCAAATTTGACTATTAGACTTATCTATTTTTATAAAGAGAATTGGTTATACAAACTTTATGAAAAAGTACTTTAAAATGTATAAATTATAATATCAATCAATTGTGTGTATAGGGCATGTTCATACATAGAAAAACATTTATATAGTTGGTTAATTTTTGTAAATTTATTTATAATTATATATGATAATTAACCAATCAAATTACAAAATTTTTAACCTAATTTATCTGTTTAATATTATTAGAAAACCAATAAAATTATATATAAAGAAACT